GGGAGAGAGATAAGGTGTGTACTCCCATTATAAGTGCATAAAGACATTATCTTAATTACCACTTGTTCAATATTTTTTCAATTTTTGTTTAATATCAATAGAATAAAAGATTGGCCAAAAATAAAATAAAATGGACAAGTGTAAATAAGGTTATGCACTTGTTACACAAAACATCATCAAAATGAAATTCATACTTATACGTTTCATGCATCAGAATTGAGAACAAAGGCTCTGATACCAATTGATAGAAAACTTTGCGGAACATAAATAAAAACCGATAGGATTTAGTTTTATACATGAAAACTATATGAATCTGAACTATACAAAAATAAGTGTATACGTATCTTGATCCATGGTAGATTAATGTATCTTTTAATGAACTTCAATGAATCCATTCATGATACATAATGCATCTTCTACATTCATGAGACATAATGCATCTTTTAATGAACGTTCCCATCAAAGAATCCATTCATTCAATGAATTTCATTAAATAGATTAATGTATCTTTTACATTCATGATACATAATGCATCTTTTACATTCATGATACATAATGCATCTTCTATATTAATGAACTCATTAGATAGATTAATGTATCTTCTACATTCATAATAGATACATAACGCATCTCTAAAATTCATTCAATAAAATCTATCACATTCAATGCGTTGTCACTATCTCCATTAGTCTTCTATACATTATATATATATATATATATAGGTGCATTCATCAATGATTAGTCACCATCTAATTGATGTACATGTATCTTGCCTAATGAGATGAATATAGTATAATCATGTATAAGCCACATTAAGCCATATTTAAAAAAATTCTTACAGATAGGCCTTAGCCCTCGTTTTTTTTTTGGGAGTTAATTTAGTCAAAAATAAATAATAAATTTAAAAAAAAATTAATAAGATAAAAATCATATCCAAATATAATCATTTCACTTATTTTATTTATTTTATTAAAAGTCAAAAAATTAAATCCAATCCAAACGAACTTTTTAGCACCAAACTAAAAATATCCACAAAGTCAACCAATTCCAAACAAAAAAGACCATCCCATTATAAAACATATAAAATAGAAGCTATCAAATTTTATTTCTTTTATGATTAAAATTGGATCAATCATTAAAAAAAAAATTAAAAAGAAAAAGAAAAAAAATGAGCAAAAAAAAAAAAAAAAAACAATCACAAGTGAAAAAAGAAAACCTGTGCATCTAGAGTTGGTAAGAAGCCTTTCAATGAGTTTTCTATCAACCAAATTGTCATCAACAGCCAAAACATGTGCCTCTCCTCTTTCTCCATAATAACCTTACTTGATGATGAAACAGCCATTTTCCTTTGCTTCTCTAGAACCAAACACAAACCTTGGAAAAAGAAAACAAACAAAAACTGCCCAAAGAAACAACACACAAAAAGGCAAAAGAAACGTCTCTTTTGACAAAAACACGAACCCTTCCACCACAGAGAGAGAGAGAGAAGAGAGGGTACAGACGGGTATGTAATATATATATATATATAGATGTAGATGTGTGTATGTGAAGAAGAAGAAAGAGAAAGAGTAAAGAGATCGTGATGAAATCAAGGGTCACAAATATTTCGTGATCTTCTTGGCTATTGGGATACGATTGTAGAGAGATGTTTCTATAACTGACACTTATTCCCTTAAGCAAGGAATTAATACCTAGAATAAGCATAACCCATGACATTAATCCAAATCTACGAAATTCTATTTGATTTTTGTTAATAATTTTTTTTTAAATAACTAATATCATTTTCTTTTTTCTCTCCACAAATTTTTCTCAGCATTCTAATTTGTTCTTTTATATATATGTATGATTTCTTAGATTAGATTTGTTGTTGATTTCTTAAATGGATTTGATAAGTGGTTTTGATTTCTTGAGTTTTAAGAAATCAACAACAAATCTAATCCAAGAAATCATACATATATATAACAAGACAAATGAGAATGATGATGAAAAATTTGTGGAGAGAAAAAAGAAAATGAATATAGTTATTAAAAAAAATCTATTTTATTAACAAAAATCAAACAGCTCCTTTTTTAGATATTTGTTTGCCAGTTGTGCCAGCTGTTGCTCACTGAAGGCCATCTCCATACACGTGTATGGAGGGATGAATACAAGCTCTAAGCTTGTTTTTCTATATATAGGGGGGTCTCTCCCCCATTTTGGAGGGTTATATAATTAGGAGCAAAATTTTCTCTCTTTGTCTCTCTAGAATTCTCTCTCTCTCTTCTTATTTTGTGCCTTGTAGTTGGTTTCCTCTACACTTTGCACATAAGCTCTTAACCAAACACCACCCCCTTGGAGCTGAGGTTCCTTGGAGCTTTATTTGAGTTTTGAAAGAGGTTTTGAGCTTGAATTCGTGGCTGAAGTGCTTTTTGCTTCAAAGGTATTAAATCTATATTGTTTAAGCTTATTGTATATACTTGATTTACCATCTTTTTTAACT